TATCTTTTTACAAAAAAATGGCTAAATAATTTTCTATAATAATAAATATCATTTAAAAAAAATAAATAAAATTCAACCAATCATATGACAGATAAATAAATAAAAGATAACCAATGGTAATTATGGTTCACAATCTTACCTCAAAATATATAAACATTTATTTATAATATCATTCACAAAATAAAAACATAATAAATATTATTTGGCCATTTATATTATAAAAAACTTTAAGGGAAATTAAAAATAAAATTTTCCATATAAAATTAAATTACAAGCTATTTTTAAAAATAAATGAAAATTTGATTAAGTATTTTTTTCAAGTTTTGAACATATCTTTAAAAAAATTTCCACTCCCATGGACATTTTTATAAGTCACGCCTCTGTTTATAAGGCTTAATTAATATACATTTAGTTTAACTTTTCGATCAGTTTATTGGTATCAAGAGCAAGATAGAACGCATAGATGCACTAAAACAATTATACAAATAAAACAAAAATCAATATATGAAAAAAATTATTATCTATAATAAATATTCAATTTTTAGTATCTAAAATATGAGACTCAATGTCCCTAACTGCAGCTTTGATATTATTCACATTTATAATTGTAGCAGTAGCATAAAAAAAAGTAGTCAAATGGACTTGTGATATCTTTAGAAAATGTGATATCAAAATAAGATGGATGAATTGGTTACCGTAAAATTAAAAACGATTACTATAGATGCTTTACCCTAAAGATCCAGGGAACTTTAACACTTGGAAATAAAGAGGGTCAGATGTCGATTTCATACAGGGAAGCATCCCGTTTTCAAATTTTTAAATATAATTTATAGTAGTGTTGTAAATAAACGCGTTCATTTTGAACGCGTTCGTGAACGAAGTTTGTTTTTTTTTGAAATAAATGATGAATGGCGTTCCTTTTATTTTTGACGAACTTTGGTGAACGCGTTTTTATGAAGAACGCGTTCGAATATAACGTTCGTTCAATTTTAAAAACACTGTTTATTTTTATTTATTTGAAGAATTTAATATTAATCCGAATTTTTAAAGAAAAAAGTCTTATATTTTATAATCAACTGTTTTTCCTTTTCATATTTCAATTTTTTTTAAGATACCATTATTATATTTTACTTATTAGAATATTATTGTTTATATTTTAATAGATTAGCATAAACATGGATATTATTATTTCATAATCATTATCTGATTCTGAAAATTCAAGATAAATTAACATTACCATGGCCCAAATTTATAAATATTTTACAGTGACATACTATATTGACTAATTCAATACTTATCAAATGTAAAATGTGGGCAAAACAAAAGTATTATATCAGTTTCAAAATCTTTAAGTTACAATTTAAAACGACATTTGATTGTAATATTAATTATTTTATATAATATAAACTAAAAAAATCATTTAATTTGAAGAAAAAATGCATTTGGGCCATTTTACTCCAACAATAACGATAGTTATTAAAAAATTTAAAAAAATAGTGACCTAAAATATGGTCAACGATTGATAGACACAGTATTAAATAGAATTAATAAAAGGTATCTATCACTATCAAATTACTTACATATATTTTATTTTTTTTGAAGATTTGAACATATATAAGAGATCAATATATTCTTTTTACAATTATACATCTAGAACAAGAACTGTTAATTTTCTAGATATCCTTTTTTTTGGAAGATGAAGTAGAGGATGGATTGGAGGAGGATAACTTATCTCAGTAAAAGACAAAACAATAAATCATTTTAATAAATTCTCCACGTTAAAAGAGTTGTTTATTAAGTATAATACAGCAAATCCCACCATCTGCCCCTGTACGTTTTAAGTATAGCTAATGCCGTATTAACTGTCAAGCGTTCCTGTCTATCAGATGAAAATTTTGAAAAACAATTGTTATTTAAAATTAATAAGAAAAATTTTTTATAAATAAAAATATTATTTGCTATATTATATTGTATTTATAATTATATTATCAAAATAAAACTATATTATTTTTTAACATGGCTAATATATTGTGTTAAATTTATTTATATTAAATTAAATTTAAAAAAAAAATTTATTATAAAATTTTGAACGAAGGTGAACGCGTCATGAACTTGAACGCGTTCCTTTTTTTGAAAGTGAACGTGTTGGATTTTTGTCAATGAACGTTAAACGCGTTCGATTTTTTTAGAGATGTTTACAGCACTCATTTATAGTAATTTTTTATATGTAAATGTGATTATAAAATTAAAATTCGTAAATTTTTAGTGAGGAAATTTTTGAGAAGATTTTATATAACTAAAAAAGGATATCAATTTAAACTAAATGATAATACTAGCGCAAAATCTTTAGTCTAGAGAATTATATTTGTTTCATTTCTAGATATTCTAAGAGAGTGTATTTGCCTATAAACTTTGCAGGTCGGTGTCAAGAAACTATTCAAGTTGCTTTATCTCGAAAATTAAAAAATTTAGCTAACTTGGGTCTATAATACATCAAGACGGAGGTTATCAGGAAAAGGTCAACGCTAGGATATAGAAGGGTTGGATGAAATGGAGAACTATCATAGATGCTTTGTAAAGATGTTGTGGATTAAAGGTAAGGTTTATTGAGCTATCGTCAGATCATGGGGCGAAACTTAGGCATTGCGAGTTGCCAAGATGTTGGATGTAACTGAAATGCGAATGATCTAATGGAGCCTAGGTTATACCAAGTTAGATCGTATAATGATAGATTAAGAAAGAAGATGGGTGTAGCTCCCTTGTCTGAAAATATAAAGGAGAGCATATTGAGATGGTATGAACATGTACAAAGAACTGACTCAACTAACGTGAATCGGAAATTTCTCGATCTTGGCCATCGAACTGGAGGCACCTCACAGCTAGCTTGGATTTCTCACATCCACAAGGACACGTTTAATAAGAAAATTGTTGTTGATATGGCCCAAATCAGAACCATATGGAAGGATAGGATGCGTTTTATCGTATTTTATATTTCTTATAGAGTTTGCATTACCTTTTATAAGAAAATATAAAACAGCATCACAATTGACAAATTAATATGTTGAAAGCACACGAGGAACAAATGAACGTAATTCCACACACATAAATAAATTTACACATAAATTTAACATCCAGAACATTACTTCTAGTCAATAATATAGAGGTCATATTATTTCTTATATGTTGTGAGATATGTTTTCATAATTCGTATTATTCAAATCCGTGCATTTCATTTCATTTTACCTTTATATTTTATATTCTTTTACATGACGGCCTGAATTGCATTTCTAAAAAGACTACTCGATACATTTTACTATTTTTAGTTTATATTATATTATTCAAATGATTATCTTAGGACCAGACCTTCTCTTTTGAGATGTCTAAAAATATTTACGGCAAAATTTTACTTAAATAGGTCTTTTGTTTTTGAAAATTTCATGTTTTTAAAAATTTATCCTACCAAAATTATATTAATATAATATTATCAAAAATAATTCGACTGTTAAAAATATAAGTTGATACCTTTGAAGGAAAATAATTATGTATTGAAATGTTAAATCATCTAAAATCATTGAAACAATAGTTAACAGGAATAAGAATAATAATATGTTTCGCTTATAGTAAAAGCAATATTCGAACTAAAAATTAGAATATGATATAGAATTCAACAGTTGCAATAAAAGATAACTTATAAATGTCTTATTGGAATATTTAATTCATGAAAATTTTAAATTTGAAAAATCCGCCGATTTGACCGGAAATGTATTCCAACATGCATAAAGTACTAAACAACCCTATGAGTATTAAACAATTTCTTAGTAAATCTTTGTGTATATTTTAGTCTTACAAAATTTACTATAAGTTTTTGTAATTTATAAGATAACGGTGATTTTCTGTGAATACTCTCCATGCTGGAATATATATTTCTGGTAAAATTTCATAGTCCTAAATGATTTATATTTGAGAAATTCTAAATATCTAAAAATTCCAAATTCCATATCCCAAAGAGACATGTTACATTGATTATTTTGATCAAAAACGCTCCTAAATTGTTAGACATAGAATAATCTATAAAATTCTATGATTTTTTAATTTTATTTATTCGTGACCTACTAAAATACATAAAAATTGTCTTCTTTTCTATTAGTAAAATCGGGTTTCCCAACTTAACTAAATTTAACATGATTTTTATTCATAATAGACTCATGTTTTATAAATTATATAAAGAGAAAAAAAATTTAAGCTTGTATTATATTAAATGTTTTCATAAGAATTATATAATTTTAAATCAATGTAAATATTGATTATATATTTAAGAATAAGAATAATTTGGATATTAATGAATTATATGAATAACTAATTTATTTGACAAATTATTCAAATAATTCATTTAATTTAAATAGAATTATTCAAATAATTTTATCAAATATTCGAAATATTCGGAATATTTTAAAGTTTTTTTAATTAAAATTTAATCATTTGGGTGGAGAAAAAATTTTGCCAATCTATTTTCGTATATTATTTAATAATATTTATTAAATGAATTATTCTAATAATTCAAATTTAATGCAAGCAGTAAATATTCGTACGAATAGGAATAATAAATTATTCTATTCATTTAAATAAGTCAAATGTGGATAATGCATTATTCGGTTCATATTGGTTTTTATGAGACACATGACTTCAAAAATGGCCAAAACGTAAAAGAAGTTAAACCGATTAAGATCTATATCTTAAACTGCATTTAAATCCTTTGATCTAAACCAGATTATTCAACTTAAATATTGTTATTTCTCTCCTTATTTTTTTGTTAGCTAAATTATGTTTTCTTTTTATGAGCTTTTTGTAAAAGTTGTCGTTATCATTTTTATATGTATATTTTTAGATAGTAAATATTTAATTCCTTTTTAAACTTTAAATATATAACAAGATATTACTTTTAAAATAAAGATAATTTGTATAATGTATGAGAAAATGTATATTTATAAATATTTCTATACCGTAAGCAGTGTACATTTTAGGACCCAAGTCGGGTTTGACAAAAACCTTGGGCAAGCAAGCAGCCATATTAAAAATGGCATCACGAGTGGTATATTCCGGTAATGGAAGGGAAGATGTCAGATCAGCATAATGGCGTGGAAGGATTTCAGCAAAATCATCTGTCCCAGGCCAATCCTTCAATTTTAGCATGATATCATCATCAGGTAAGCGTTCTTAATGTAGCAAAATGAATGATAGAATAGAATGTTTAAAATTTTTTTATTATTTCTTAATTAATAAAATGTAACGAGGAGTCGGGTAAAAAAAAGGTATTGTTAATTAAGCATTAGATTAAATAAATGTATAAAAAAATAAAATATCAATATTTGAATGGAGTCTATCAAAATAAAATTAAATAAAAATTTTGATAAGTATATTTGACTAAGCAATCATAGTCAAAACTTTATGTCCTGTCCATTTATAAAATTTAAAGTTATTGGTCACCAGTAACGTGGAACAAAACTTGGAGAAAAAGACAGAATACGAGATCCTAAAATTTCATGGAATGTTCCAAAAAATAATTATGTGAGATAGGACAAAATCAAATAATAATTTTATAAAATTAAAAATCATATCATATTCACCTTTTTATATTTTAGTAATGTACAGACCTTTTTTATAAATGAATCGTCAGTCTATATTAGTTTTAATGTAATTGCTTTAACCTTTAATATTTGATATTCAAATTATTTTAATGAAAAGTATATATAAATTATAAAAAAGCGTAAGTTTGACAAATATAGAGTAGATTGATAAATCAATTACAGAGATTTTCAGATAAAACAAGTCGTTGATAGATATATTGCATGATTAGTGTTAATTAAAAATAATATTATATGTATATATATGAGTTTATGTTATGGAACCTGTTGCTACGGCTCTTTCTATTTTAGACATTTGGGATATCTCACTCTTACGATAACTAATTTAAATAATTTCAGATTTAGTAAACCACTTATTTACAATCCTGCAAGACATAGATAAAAGGTATACACTTTGAAATATTGTTTACAATTTATATTTTGATTATATTTATCTTCATTAGATTCAAACACATCTATAAAGATGAATATATATTATCAGCAATAATTCACCTGCTAATTAAATTGGATTTGTCCTGAAAAAATTATAGGTAAAAGTTGATAAAAGGCTTGAATTTATTTCCAGTTTGAGGAATAATCTTGACAAAGAAAAAGCATTTTTCCTTCAAAAAACAACACACAAACCAAATTATTTTCTGATAAATATAATTTTCTTGAAGATCTGAATGAAGATTCATTTGAAGATGATCTATTAAAACTTTTTATAAGGATTATTCTTTATTTTTAATAAATTCCCCCCAATTAAAATTTTTATTTATTAAATATAATATAACCCTACCATCCTCTGCGCCAGTGATGGTGTGTTTAGCACGGTGATAGATGTGTTGAGCACTCCCTTTTTTATCTGATCAAAATTTTAAAAATCAATTTTTGTTAAAATTAAATAAAAATTTATTATAAAAATATCTTATCTCATGATATATTATCTTTGTATAATTTTATTATTATTATAAAATAGGAAAATAAAATTGTTACATCTTATAATATATTATTTTTGTATAATTTTATTTTTATTATATATAGGAAATTTTTGTATAATATTTAATTTTTCAAGCAACGAATAACGCGTTACTTTCTGAATAGCCAGTAACGCGCGTCACTTTTTTCACAAGGTAAGGAATAACGGCAACGTGTTCCTTTTTTTTGACGTAAAGAGTTTCTTTTTTGAAGTAACGTTAACAGCACTAATGTTTATTCATCTATTATTGTTAATGTGATTAAGATTATTAAAACTTTTATAAATCTTTAAAATGCTTTGTTTAAAATAAATTATAAAGTATTAAATTTCTAAGAACAATTTTGTTACTGAGTTCGAGTTAGTGATAAAAGACGTTAATGCTTTGATGAAAATATATAGATTTATAAATATTTTTAATTGAAAAGTAAAATATTTATAAGGAAAGGAAATGTCATTGTTCCGGGTCCGTTTTAAAAATGAAGTATGTCATACAGAAGGGAAGAGTTTAAAAATTGGAAAGCTAGGCCCACATGAAGGGTAGTAAATTTTTAAATAAAGCAATAACCGCCAAAACATATTTAGACATTGAAACACTTTTAATATAAATTTAATTTTCAAAAATTAAATAAACTTAGCGGATTGATGAATCCTTCCCAAAAGACTCGCGCGGGCAAATTCTTGATAAGGCTATTCTTTCTGCAATCCACGATATCGTTGTAGCAATGACCAAATGCCGAAAGAAACCATTTAGGATTCCATAAGGATGGGTCTAATGAAGTGTGTATACCAGAAACTAATACAGGCTTATTGGCCTTCCAAGCTATCCTAAACAGCTCTAGCAATCTATATCTATTGCAATGATCACTTTTAAGCTTGTCTTCACCTTTTATAGAGTTATTTGAACTATCCATGTTGTGTTCTTTATTTTCACGGAATTTAGTTGTGTCTATCAACCTTGTTGATTTAGATGTAGTAAGATCAGTCCTCTTATCGTTTTTATTAAAACAAGAAACGATTAACTGATAATCGTTTATTTCGTGAATTTGGTCCTTTTCATTTTTGTCATTGTCGAAATTCAATCTAGCTGGCTTTATGAGAGTATTATAATCACTGCATCTATTTTGGTGTTTCTCGTTATTTTTAGTTTTGACGCGTGTATTGGTGTTGATAGGGGAGTGCCTATGTTTCAAGTGCAGGACGGATCCATGGCAAAGCCAAGAGTGGGAGACATCAGGGTAAAATATATGCGAGGATTTTACAAAATTAGGGAATTCCTATATTATTTCGAATAAAAATTACTTTCTTTGCACATTATAATAAATATTTGTACTATTTAATAATTAATTTATTTGAAATTAAATATAATATAATCTAAAGCTATAAAGATCTAAGAAATTTAAGATTATATGTCAATATTAAGAATTAGGGATGGCATGATTAAATCAAATTAATTTAATAGGTGATTAAAATAGATGATTTTTTAAAATAAAATTATGATATTTTCAAATAAAAACATTTTATAACGTAAATTTACTTTTTGCAAATAAGATTTAATTCATTGCTAAATTTTATTATTTTAAATGATTTTATGTGATACGATGTTAATCGTGAAAATATTATTTTTAGTATAATAAATTTTTATAATCATTTTAGTTGTTAAAATTAAAGGAGATATTAAGAATATCGAAGGCATTTCTGTTCCTGTATATTATATCTATTTAGTTAATACTAAGATTAATTGAGATGCAATACATAAAAATATATATAATTAAAATAATCTAGCATTGTTAACATTACAATTTAATAGTTTGCTCAACATAATACAGGATCATAGCCAGGAATTTTCAGCTAGGGGGGCAAGCTGCTTATTTGAGGGGGGCCACTATTTTTTTAAAATAAAACAATTAGGCATTCATAGAAATTTTTTGCTATTTTTATTTAAAATTTATTAATGTAATATGAATACAAAATAATACTATAATATAATACGACGATTTTTATTTTTAAATTTTAACATAAATGAATTAAAGGATAAATTTTTTTTTTCATAAGCCATCAATACTAAATTTTCCTTACGTTGATCTTTCATCGACTTTCTAGTGCTCGATAGAATTCTCTTTATTGTAGAAAAAGAGGTCCAAGAAGCCGTTTGTACCCTTATGATGATGGCTGCTGAGTAGCATTTATACAATTCTTTAAATGCATGATGATATTTATTTTATACATAATATTTAGGATATTTTCAAAATTATGTGTTTCTTTAACTTCTGCAGCTAATAATCCTTTAACTATTTTCATCTCATGATGTAACGTTTCCATATTTAAGTTTAATAATGATTCTAATAGGGCCATTTTATCCGATATAAAATAATCAGGGTCAAAGGGGGAAAATGTATTAAAACATGATAGAAGATTATAATCATCTTGTGTAAATCTATCTAAAAACGATCAACACAAAGTAATCAATGATTTCTTAATAATTCCTCTTTGAAGAACTTCAATTGTAGTCTTTTTCACATTCAAATTGTAATTTGGTCTAGACTAAAAAATATTGAAAATTTATATTCATTTTACGTACCCTTGATGAATTGTGGGGAGTGAGATTAAGTTTTGCTAAAAGTTTTTCAGCCTTAATATTAATCAAATCAAAAGAATTATAGCTTCTTTTATTTTTAATATATTGATAGTAGAATCAATATAATTTTTAGCATCCACTAGATTAGTACCTACTGACTGTAGCTATTCAGTGGATCTATTAATTATAATGGCTAATATAACGTAATTTATATAAAAGACCAGAGGCTTGGAGTGTATCATGAGTGGAAACCTTCGAATTAAAAGTTGTATTAGAAAAAAAAAATAATACTTCACCAATAGCGTCAAAATTTTCATAAACGATGCAAGATGCTTCTAAATGACCAGCCCACCTCTGGTCTAAAAGTCTCTTAAGAGTATGGCCTGCATATTTATAGGATACGTTAAAGCTCCTAAAAAAATTATACAACACATTGTATAAATTTAAAAAATTAGAAATGATACCAATATTATCATACCAATTTTGAACCAAAATGCAACACGTGGTTGTAGATGTATAAAAGAAACAATTTTATTAATTTTTTTTGAGTTAGGATTTGCTCTCCTTCATTTCGGCCAGACATAACGTTCACCACATCATATGCCTGGTTCATTATATTCGTTGAATTAATATTTAACTCATTAATTTGGTTTAAAATGTAATTAGTAATGCTTTCAGAAGATAGACACTGTAAATTAATAATTCCTATCAAATTTTCTGGGACTTCAGGTTTTCCCGACCTTATGTATCTTTTATCTCATCAGTCTGAAGACAAATAAAAGGCATCTCTTTTGTTATATTTATCTGAAATATATTCAAGCAACATATGTACCATAATAGATATTACATCGTTTTGAATATGGGGTGATGTATATTGGGCATTTTTGGGTATAAATTTCATAATTTTATTTAATTCAGGATCTTTTTGGATGGTGCATGAAAACATTGCCATAAATAATCCAGAAGAATAAATTATGTTTTCATCAGTTGTATCATCCATAATTTCTGTTGACCAATCGCACGAAAGGCAGCTCATGTGTGCTAGGAAATAGCATCATATCTCAAATATTGATTTAAGATAGTAAAGATTACGGTTAATTTGTTGGCTTGCCAAAATTGTTGTTTTCTCAGTATTTCACCGCTGTTTTAAATAACTAATTATATTATAATAATAATATTGTGATTGAACCATAATAAATAAAATAATTATCATTGAAATAAATACAATTTAAACGTGATTAAGAGCCTATATAATGTAATACACAAACACACATGAAAATGATAAAATATGAATGATGATTTATTATTGGATAAAAATAAAACAGGATCGAAAGAAATTTACAAACTATACATATTTTTTGAATAAATATTTAAATTTTATTTTAAAAATATAAAAAGAATATATTACAAAAAAAATTTTTAAATTTGGGAGACCGGAAAAATTTATGGAGGCGATTTTTTGTGGCTAAAGATTTTTTCTAGGGGCCAGGTTTAGGAGTCAGAAAATCCCCCTCCCCCGTGGCTACGGCCCTGACGTAATAAATATCATACTTGGACAAATATTAAATAGATAACATTATGCTAAAATACGTTTAGTCAATCTAATATTGCTACTTTAACAATGATATGAAAAAGAAGTAATGTAATAAATGGAATGAATGTTCCATTAATAACTTCGCTCCAGGCAAGGGATATTTTTCAAATTAGCTTTATTATAAAATTTAATTTAAATCAAAAAAAAACAATTTCATTAAATAAATTGATATCTTAGATTTTTTTTAAAAAATACACGATTTTTATATTTAAAAATCACGAATTTTCCCAAACCCACTAAGAGTGCATTACCGTGAATGCATTTCTGCCAACATATTACAGCAAATCCATACTCAAAATTCATTTCCGCCGATACATTTAGTTATTTAGGAAAAGTCGCGTCCCAAAGACGTTCCGAAATGAGCCCTAAGGAAGTTATACACTAGACAAGACGCGTCCGCGTACAATGTTTCGATCCCAAAAATTATTTTAAATTATAGATAATTTCTTATATATGGATTCGAAAAAAAAATCGACATATTAATAAATCACAATGTTATATTTCAAACATAATTTCAACTAAATATAAGAATTATTTTCAAACATAATATCAGCTAAATATAAGAATAAATTTGTATTAATTATTTTCCACATTAATTGTTGTTAATAGCAAATTAAATATTTTGGTATAAAAACATATTTTGTCTAGAAATCCATAAAGTATTTCATATTTTAATACCCTCTTTTTTGAAAAACAAAGGACAGTCTACTTGAGTAAAACGAGTACCAAAAAAATTCTACTTGGAAATTTGCCACATTCAGACTGCGTCCATCCCATGGGCATTTGTACTTTAATAGATATATCACCCTAAAAATATTATCATCAATGTCTTACAGCGAAAACATAATCACAAATTAGACTGCATGGGACACATTTCTTGAGGGCCCTGAGAAAAAAATATTGTCATGACCCGAAATTTTTTATTACAAATTGTAGTCCAATCAAAAATATATTATATAGATCAGAGTCCAATCGGAATTATTTTTTGGACTGTTGAAAAAGCACAATAAACAAAATCGGGAAAAATTATTATCACTGAAAGATAATTAACAATTTTGTGATCATTTTGGAAACCGAGGTCCAAGTCCGATCCAAAATAAATGATAAAATTAAGATCCGAATTCGACCAAGTCCAATAAAATCTTTCTCAGTCCGATCTACCCGAGTTCAGTATAAGACTAAATTTGGTAGGAGTTAGCTCTACCGAGAACATAATTTAGCTAATATATTTTAGCAGACATATCGCCGGGGTGGCCTAATGGGTTACGATGTATGCTTGGAAACAGAAGGACGAAGAAGATGCAGGTTCAATCCTGGTAAGAAGCATAAAAATTTTCAGGTTTTTCTTCAATGACTGATGTGTAAAGACATATGGTAAGATGAATTTCGGAGCTTAAAGATGACACCCCGGTCACCGACAGGCCTGGACAGCCGGGTGCTAAGGATACTTGTCCAAAAAACAAAATGAAGGAAACAAATGAAAATATGAAAATGAAAGCTAGGGTGTTCCCTCCAAGCGACGCGAAGGGTGTAGACCTCCATCCTGTGAAAAGTAAAATAAATGTCAAAGCAAAGAAGACAAGATTAGCAAGTTTGAATATTGGTACACTCAAAGGTAAGACGAGAGAATTGGCATCAATGTTGGACAAGAGAAAAGTTGATATAGCGTGCTGAGACGAAATGGAAAGGACAAAAGACTTTAATGATTGGAGATGTGTAAAAATTGTACTATAATGGAATTGTTAGCAATAGGAACGGTATCGGCATCATCCTCAGTCAAGATCTAACCTCGTCAATAGATTCTCTGATAGACTAATGAAGATAAAACTCTGCATTGGTCAATCAATACTACACATCCTTTAAATATATGCTCCTCAAATGGGTTGCAAGGAAAAAGAGAAATATGACTTTAGAGCTATCCTTGAGAAAGTTGTAATGGAAATCCCTAAGGATGACTTAGTCATAATTGGTGACTTAAATGCGCATGTGGGAAAAGCAAGAGATAGCTACAAAAGGCATCATGGTGGTTTTGGATATGGAGAAAGAAATGATGTTAGAGAGCATTTACTGAAATTTGTGCAAGCCTTCGGCCTTGCCTTAACCAA